GACTTGTATTGATCCTCCTTTTTACAGATTCCCAAGTGCTGGGATTATAGCCACCACGCCCAGTCTCAATCAAAGTCTCAGCGTGCCCGGGGCCGGCGGGCCAGGGGGCCAGGGGCCAGGGCAAGGTAGGCCTGGGGATCTCAGCCCCCTCATCTGCAGATTCCCTTTTGTTTTGTTTTGTTCTTTTTGTTTTTGTAAAACCAAGGATCAAACTCAAGCCCTTGGGCTTGCAAGGCAAATTTTACTGAGCCATCTCCCTGGCCTCCCATTTTTGGATTGTGTCTTTAAATTTAAATTTGGGAGGTGTGATATTTTTTAATTTTTTGTATGTTCTCAATAGTAATCCTTTGCGAGCAAGTAGCAAACTTTTTTTCCTACATTGTGGGTTGTCTCCTGAATTCACTGGTGTTTTCTCTTGCTGTGCTTTTTAAAAGCTTTTTAAACGGCTGGTGAGATAGCTCAGAGTGGACTAAGCACCTGCTTAGGCAAGCGCAGGGACCAGACACCTGCTGCCCCTGCCCCCACATATACTGAGCCGCCTGTGGAGACCAGACATGGTAGTGTATGCCTATAATCCCAGTGCTGAGGAGGTTCACTACAGGAGGATGTAGTGAGGAAAACAGGACAGTCACTACAAGTCCAAGCTGGTTAGTGAAACCCTTTATCAAATACATTAAGATGAGATCCAAATTATTTTCTGTGATACTTCCTTTGCAATCAGAGATTTATTCATAAAGTCTTTGCCTACACCAGTGTCTTCAAGAGTTTTACCTATGTTGCTTTCTAGCAGATTTAATGTTTCTGTTTTAATATTTAGATATTTGATCCATTTTGAACTTACTTTAGTGAATGGTGAAAGAGCGAGGCCCAATTTTAATCTTTGGCATATGCAGAGCCAGTTTTTCCAGCAGCATTTATTAAACAGGCTAGCTTTCTTCCAGTGACTGTTTTGCCCCTTTGACAACGATAAAGTGACTGAGTATACCTGGATTTTTCTGCATCTTCTAATGTAATTGGTTCCACTGATCTTTGGGTCTCTGTCTGTCTGTCTCATATGCTTGCTCTTTTTTTTGAGGGGGGGAGGTTGGGCAGTACCATGCTGTGTATATCACATTAGGTTTATAATACAATTTCAAGTCAGGGATTGTGATGCCCCTGCCTTGCCTTTGTTACCCATAATTGTCTTTGCTATTCTAGGTCTTTTCTGGTACCACATTAATTCTGGAATTGTTATCTCTAATTCTATAAGATGTGTTGTTGGAATTTTGATCAGAATTACATAAATTGAGACTGGGCATGGTGGCGTACACCTGCAATCCCAGTACTTGAGAGGCTGAAAACAGGAGGATCACTACGAGTCCGATCTGTGTAGTGAGACCCTGTAGACCCTGTACTTAAAAAAAAAAGTACATTAACTCTTATCAATTTTGGAATAGGGCCATTTTCACTATATTGGTTCTTCCTATTCAAGACCAAGGGCTCTTTCCATTTTATTAAATCTTCTTCACTCTTTTTTAGAGTATTCTAGTTTTCATTTTAGAGGTCTTTTACTTTCTTTATTAGATTGATTCCTGGGTATTTCATTTGTTTTGGATGCTATTGTGAAAGATGTTGTTTCCCTAATTTCCAATTTAAGTGAGTTTGTTATTCCTATACAGGAAGGCTATTGATTTGAGTTTGTTGCGGGGGAGTACTTGGGACCTTGTACTTGTCAGACAGGCACTTACGACACTGAGCTCTGTTCCCTGCTTGCTCAGGCTTTTGATTTTTGAGTGTTGACTTTGTATCCAGTTATACTACTGAATTTGGCTATCAAAGCTAGATGTCTTTTGGTGGAGTTTTTGGGGTCTTCTATGTCAAGTATCATGTTATCAGTAAATAAGGATAATTTAACTTCTTCCTTTCTTCTTGTTATTGTTTGTCTTGTCTAATTGCTTTGGCTAATGTTTTCAGGACTGTGTTAGAATAACAGTGGATATTCATGTCTTGTTCCTGATTTTAGAGTGAAGGCTTTCAGTTTTTGTCTATGTAGTATCATGTTGGTTGTTAATTTGTCATAGGTGGATTTTTATCATAGTTAGGTACAGACCATCTATTCTGATTTTTTATGTAGGTTTTTTTTTTTTTTAAATCATGAATGGGTACTAGGCTTTGTCAGATGGTTTTTGTACATCTGTTGAGATGATCATATGATTATTATTGGTAATTATTATTTATTTATTTATTTATTTATTTGTTTATTTATGGCGGAGCCGGGGATTGAACTCAGGCCCTTGCGCTTGCCAGGGAAGCGCTTATTTCACTGAGCCATCTCCCTGGCTCCTGATATTTATTTTAGTATCAGGGATTAAACTCAGTACTTTCTGCTTGCCAGACAGGTGCTTCTGCCACTGAGCTATATTCCTGGCCCTGATCATATGATTCTTTGTCCTTGACTCTGTTAATATGATATGTTACATTTATTGATTTATGTATGTTGACCCATCACTTGGTTGTGGTGTATAATCTTTTTTAAAAAATTTTTTTCCATAATTTTATTGATAAATAGCAATGAGACAGTTTCACATCAAATTGGTAGGACAGTTTCAATAATTAACACATTGCAGTATAATCTTCTTGATAATTTGCTGCATTTTTTTTTTACCAGTGCCTTATATTACAGATTTTTGCATCTATGTTCATTAGTGAAATTGACCTGTAAGTTCTGTTAGTTGGGTCCTTACAGGTTTTGGTATTGGGGTAATACTTGACTCTAGGAATGAATTTGGGAGTATTGCCTCCCTTTCAATCTTTAAAGAGTGAGAAGTAGTGGTGTTAGGTCTTCTCTAAATTTCTTCTACAATTTAGTAGTAAATCCATCAGGGGATTATCTTTTTTTTGTTAGTAAGTTTTTAATTATATCTTCAATTTCATTGATTCATATTGGTTTATTTAGGTTTTTTACATCTTGAGTCAGCCTTGGTACTTCATATGTATCTAGGAATCTGTCCAGTTCTACATTTTATTAAAATACAGGTTTTCAAGGGCCAGCCAAATAGCCCAGTGGATTAAAGTGCTTGCAAGCAGGTGAAGGGGCTGGTGTTTGATTCTAGCCTGCCTTTCTGGCCCCACCCCCGGGGCACACTGAGACAGCAATTGAGACTGGGTATGGTGGCACACACCTGTAATCCCAGCTCTTGGGAGACTGTAAATGGGGGGATCACTACGAGTCCAATTTAGCAGTGAGACCCTGAACACCCTGTAGACCTTTCCCTAAAATTAAAAAAAAAAAAAAAAGGTTTTCAGAGTAAGTAGATTACCACAGGGTTTATTGTGATTTTACCCTTTTCATTTCTAATTGCTTGGATTTGAGTCTTTTTTCTCTTTTTTGGTAGGAGTAAGTAAAGGTTTGTCAACTTTTATTTAATCTTTCAAAGAACCAACTCTTCAAATTCATCCTTTTTATTGTTTTCCTCATCTCTAGTGCATTAATTTCTACCTTAAAAATAGCAAGGGATGATGAAAAATCAGTCCAGCAGGTGCTAAATGAAGCAAAGAAGAATTTAAAGTTGTTTGGGGTCCATGAAAATGCAGGAGACAGCACAAATGATATTTAAAAAAAGAAAAAAACTTCCCAGTAATAATGGTAGAAAACTTCTTTGGTAAAGAAAAATAATTTTACATATACAGAAGTGTGTCACCCTCAGTCGTCTGCCTTGGAATACCAGAAAGAATAGCTATTTATAGCAAGTTTGTCGCTTTTGGCTAAAGTGGTACCATCAGCAATAACAGCACCTTCTAACTGTATAAACTAGATTTGTATACAAAGTCTGCAACCAATCAGAAAATTATAAGTAGTGTATAGATTCTTAATATATCAATTTTACTATTAAGGGATAAAATTTAAAAGGGGTTAGGGAAAAAAAACAGAGGTAGAAGAGATTAAAATTAAAGCTGAACAAGTCAGCTCAGTGCCTGTCTGGCAAGAACAAGATCCCAAACTTGATCCCTTCACCCCCCCCACCCCCCAAAAAAAAGTAAGGCTGTAAGGGCAAAGGGTAATTTTGCTAATTTTGGAAACTGGAATAAATAAGTAGAAGAGATTAGAAGTAAAGCTGGAGGACAAAGGGAGATTATGCTAATTTTGGGAAATTTAGAAGACTAGAGGGAAAGAGAGAGGGAAGGGATAAAAAGAACAAAACCATCACAGAGAGGCTAGACACCATGTTCATACTCATATAAAAACAAGAGCAAACAATAACTGAGAAAACCAAACCACCATCACAACAGAAAAGAAACAAGAGAGGAAGAAAAAGTCCACTTCTAGGTTTTTCTCTGCTGTCACTGGTAGATAACCTGTGGAGACAGAGTCCTAATTCATGTTGATTTGTCCCAGTAAGCCAGCAATAGCTTTTTTTGGTTGGGTGATGGATAATCTCATCAAGCCTGCATCTTCTTACTGAACCCAGACCTTACTGAGCCCAGACGCATTGGTCTGTATCTGGCACCACTAGATGGAGCCTGCTCTTGAGTTCTGAGCGTGGCCCTTTCTAAGATAACTCTTGGCCAGTCTCTCTTGCTCAGACAATTGAGCCTTCAGCACCTATTGTCCGTTATTGCATCTTCCATGTCCACTGCTCCCTTCCCCTGCTGTATCTCTGAGATGCTATACTCATTGCCTTTCAGAATTTGGAAATTTTCCATGTTAGCATAAGCTATGTCACATAAGCTTTAAAAAGTTGTAATTTTTAGGATTTTGGGTGGGTTTTTGTTGTTGTTGTTGTTGTTTTTTTGACTGGCAGGCTGCCTTAAGGGCGGGTCTGGTAAGGCCTGTGGAGCTGGGGATCTAACCGTGGTATCCTGTGCCTGACTGTGTTTACATAAGCAGGCACTTAACTGAGCTAACCGGCAGGCCCCCTTAAAGTTGTAACTTTAAAAAAAATATATTTATTTATTGGATTCAGGATCTTGCTACACAGCTTGGACTTACTGATCCTCCTGCCTCAGCCTCCCCAGTGCTGGATTACAGACCTGTGCCCCCACCCATGCCCGGTTTCAGGGCAACATGTCCGGCATGGCATACAGTACTGGGGATTGAACCCTGGTGTTTGTACTTGGCTGGCAGGCGCTTAGACCACCAAGCAATTTCTCTAGCCCTATTACTATTTTTATTAATCTTAGACTCTTTAAGGGAATTAAGGGATATCTTTTAATCTGAATTATCTCTTGCAGGGCTTATTTGGAGTTACTCAAACCTCACAGCCTGGAAGTCTTTTTGGGACAGCCACAAACACCAGCACTGGGACAGCTTTTGGAACAGGAACAGGTCTCTTTGGGCAGCCCAGTACTGGGTTTGGTGCAGTTGGTTCGGTAGGTGTTTACAAGATATTAAGAAATCTGCTAAAGGAGTTTATAAGACAAATATCATTGTCTTCCAAGTATTTTTAAGGTATATTGTTTGAAAAAAATAAAGATATATTGTTTGATTTCACATTAAGAGCAAATCAAAGATAGAAAATGAAGTTATGAATTAATTTCATTTATATTTTTTCTTTTTTCTTTTGAGACAAACTGTGTAGCCCAGACTGGCCTTGAATTCATAGTACATAATGATCCTGCTGCCTTAGTCTCTTAAGTTTTAGGATTACAAACATGTACCACCACACATGACCCAGGCATTTTATTTTCACTTGTAAATTCTGTTTGTCTTTGTCTCAGTGACTGCTTACAATTGGTTCAGATTGGCCTTTGGACTTACTATGTAGCCAAGGTTGACCTTGAACTAAAAAAAAATATATATAATCTTGTTTCAGGTTCCCAAGTGCTAGGAGTACAGGCAGGTGCCACCACATCTGATTTTGCAGTTTACTTCTGTAGCACAATATAACCTCTACTTCTAAGGTTTTTTTTTTTTAAATTTTAAAATTATTGTTGGATTGATTCATACTGGGGATTGAACCCAGCACCTTTATAGTGAGCAGTATTCTCAGCCCTTTGGTTTTGTTTTGTTTTTGAGATAGGGTCTGTAAGTTGGTAAATTGCCTGGAATGAACTCAAACTTGTTATCCTTCTGCCTCAGCTTCCCTGAGTGTCAGGATTATAGGCATACACCACCACAGTTGGTCTTAAATAATTTATTTTTAAAATGCTACATAGCATTTTATGTTTTTATTGTGTGCGTCATGAAGCTTTTATGTATTCATTATGAAATTTAGTTTTTTGAATTTCTAAGACTTGAGATATTTTAAATGTTCTTTAAGTTAGATAATTTTTACCTCTCGTCAATGTTTTGGGTAATCAATTGGTATGGCATTTGAAAATCAATTTTTAAAAATGCTGAGACAGGGTCTGGCTAAATTGCCAAGGTTGAGCCCAAACTTATAAGCCTCTTACCTACCTCTGCCTTAAATGTTTTTCATATTGATCAAATTGCAAGGGAACTGGACATGATGGTGCACCTCTGTAATCCCAGTACTAAGGAGGTTGAAACAGGAAGATCTCTGAGTTACTGGCCTTGGGACTACAAAGTGAGCACAAGGCTGGCCCAAATTGCCTAGCGAGACCCTGTCTCCAAAAAAAAAAAAAAAGTAGAATTTTGAGAGTTCTCATGGTTCTTGTGTAGCAAGGGTTTTAATTATTTTCCTTGTTAAATCATTAAGGTAAAAACTATTAATTAAGAATGCACTTTATCTGAAAATGATGCTGAACTATGTTACCATTAAAATAGTCGTTTTATGAGAAGTGCTATGGAACAGTCTATTACTATTCATGAGAAGATTATTCATGAGAAGCTTTAAACTTTCAGCTGTTATGGGTATTTAAATGAAAGCTCAGTGGATTAAAGTGCCTGCAAGCAGGCACAGGGGCCAGGGTTCGATCCCCAGTCCTGCCTTGCCAGCCCCGACCCGGGGCTCAATGGGACAGCAGCTGAGATTGGGTGTGGTGGTGTGTGCCTGTAATCCCAGCTCTTGGGAAGCTGTAAACAGGTGGATCACTAGAGTCTGATTTAGTAATGAGACCCTGAACATCCTGTAAACCCTTCCCTAAAATACAAAAAAAAAAAAAAAAAAAGAAAAGAAATATCCGAAAGTATGATCTTGTTTTCATGGAGGTTGAAATGCTTTTTATTAATGTCATTTGAGCATATTATTCTAAGAAATTTAGTAAATTGTGTAGTGTTTCTGAAAGCTCATATGAGCTAGGTGTGGTGGTGCACACCTGTAATCCCAGCACTTGGGAAATTGAAACAAGAGGATCATTGCAAGTTCCAGACGAGCCTAGGCTACAAAGTGAGCTTAAGGCTAGCCTAAACTGCAGAGGGAGACCTTGTCTTGAAGGACCCCCCCCCCAAAAAAAAAACTCTAATAACTTTATTTTTTTTTATTTTTTTTATTTTTTAAATTTTATTTATTTAGTGTATGTGTGTGTGTGTGGCCAGCTTAGCCCACCAGGGGGCAGCCCTGGCTGGCATGTGGTGCTGGGGGATTGAACCGTGGTCCCTTTGCTTTGCTGAGTTTGTTGTAAGTAGGTGCTTTAGACCACTGAGCCATCTCACCAGCCCCTCTAATAACTTTAATAGAAGCTTTACTGATATGTAATTTACATACTATTAACTTCATCTCTTTAAAATATACTGTTGAGTTTTGCTTTTTTGTTTGCTTTGGTTTGGAGTGGGGTTTTTTTGTTGTTGTTTTGTTTTTTATTTTAGTTTTAGATACTTCAGTCTCATTACACATTTCAGACTCTTATGATCCTCCTGTCTCAGCCTCCACAGCCCTGAGATTATAGGTATGTGCCACCACGCCCAGTTTTGGGGCAGGCATGGCATGTGGTACAGAGGAAAAAGGGACCTTGCACTTGCCAGGCAGGCACTTAGACTGCCAAGCTATCTCCCCAGCCATTGATTTTGGTTTTTTGAGACAGGGTATATAGTTCAGACTGACCTTGAACTCACTATGAGCGCAGGCTGCCATGGAACGCATAATCTTGCTTTGGCCTCCCAAGTGCTAAGTATGCACCACCACTCCAGGCATATGCATATATATATGCATATGTATATATGTATGTTTACTGTTTGCACCTATTATTACATTTTTTTCCCCCCCCGGAACCATGGGTTGAACTCAGGCCCTTGCACTTGCTAGGCAAGTGCTTATTTTACTGAGCCATCTCCCCAGCCCCCTACATTCAGTTTTAGAACATATTTATCTTGTCAAAAGCACAAGCCTATATACTCAATAGCAGTCATTCCCAGTTTTCCTACAGCAACCTCAGGCTTAATTTATATCTCTGTGGATTTGATATTGTGAATATTTTTCTGTTTTTGGTTGCATCCAGTGATGTTTACACTGAACTACATTCCCAGCATTTTTTTTTCCTCTTTTTGTTTTTCTTTTTTTCTTTTTTTTTTTTTTTTTTTTGGGAACCGGGGATTGAACGCAGGCCCTTGCGCTTGCCAGGGAAGCACCTATTCTACTGAGCCATCTCCCTGGCCCCTATCCCAGCTCTGTTTGAATTTGTATTTTAAGATGGGATTTTGTTAAGTCATTTAGTTTCCCAGGATGGGCTCAAACTTGTGATCCTGCCAGAATGATGAGATTACAGGCTTGTGTGTTATGCCTGGCCAGCATGTTTCCAAGATTCATTATGTTGCAGCATGTTAATTGATTGTCTAGGCCATTTAAATATGTGACACATTTCTTTTTTCCTTTTTTTTTTTTTTTTGTATTTAGGACAGGATGTACAGGGTCTCACTGCGTAGATAAGACTTTTACTGATTCTCCTGTTTTACAGCCTCCCAAGTGCTGGGATTATAGGTCTGAACCACCACACCCAGTCTCAATTACAGTCTCTTCGTACTCCAAGGGTGGGGCTGTCATGGCAGGCTGGGGATTGAACCTGGCCCCTGCCTCTAGGCAGATGCTTTAATCTGCTGAGCTATTTGGCCGGCCCTGACACATTTCTTTTAACAGGCAAAAAAAATTAATCATCTCTGTCTTACTGAATAATCTTAAGTTTGTTGAATTTTTTATTGGTTTGGTCTTTTGTTTGCTTGGTTTTGGGGGTTATGTACCCAGAATTGAACTCTGGGCCTTGTGCTTGCCAGGCAGGCGCTGTGCCACTAAGCTATATCCCCAGCCCTTAGGTTTTAACAATAACATCTCAGGATAGGAGCATTTTCTTGTTTAGAATCTTACTGAGTCTTTTTTTTTTTTTGTTCATTTGTTTTTTTTTGCTATCCTTTAATCATTTAACTTTTTTTTAATAAAAATTGTGACATCTTGGGGCCGGGGAGATGGCTCAGTAGAATAAGCACTTGCTTGGCAAGGACAAGGACCTGAGTTCAATCCCCGGTTCTGCAAAAAAAAAGAAATTTAAAAATTGTGACATCTTTTCTTCATCTTTCCATCTTTTTCTCTATTCATTGTACCCACAATAACTTTTATTTACTGTTTGGTATTTATCTTTATATTATTTCAACTTCCCTGTGTTTTGTTCTTTTCAGACCCTGTTTGGCAATAACAAGCTTACTACGTTTGGAACCAGCACAACCAGTGCTCCTTCATTTGGTACAACCAGTGGCGGGCTCTTTGGTAACAAACCAACCCTGACTTTAGGAACCAATACAAACACTTCCAATTTTGGTACATATAAAAAGCAGGTTTGACTCTCTTAAAAGTTACACTGACTATACCACACATCCTCCTCCTGATTCATATGATTGAAAATATTTAAAAATTCTCAGGTAAGCTGTGGCTTGATATGAGCAACCAGAGGAAAAAGTTTTTAAATGTCATGGAAAAGACTTGAGATATTTAATAGAGATGTAAATTAGCTTATTTAATTTTTATTTTTTAAATTTCCCTCATCAGTAGCTGAGGAACCATAAGAGAAGCACATTTGATTGAAGTAACACATTCTGCTAGGCCAGGTTTCAAAGATGGAAATGCAGTATATTGATGATTGTTTTGGAAGGTAGAAACCTTTCTGTTTTGTTTTTGGTTTTTGGTACCAAGGATTGAACTCAGGACCTTGTGCTTGCTAGGCAGGCTCTTAAAACCTTTCTGATTTGGGAGGTTATTAAGTAGTTGCCTAGTAGGTTAAGAATTTGTATTTTAAAATTTATGTTCTTTGTAAAACATTCAGAAAATATAGAAAGATTGAACAATTCTTAAAGAACAAAACCCCCTGAACTTCTCTTCAAAAATTTTGTGGAAAAATTGAAATCAATTTGATGGAAATAGCATACTATTTATTTATTAATATTTATATTTATTTATTTTTTGTATTTTAGGGAAAGGTCTACAGCATGTTCAGGGTCTTACTGCTTGCTAGATCAGACTTGTAGTGATTCACCTGTTTACAGCTTCCCAAGAGCTGGGATCACAGGCATGTCACCATGCCCAGTCTCAATTGCTGTCTCAGCATGCCTGGGGGGTAGGGCACGGCAGGCCAGCGATTGAACCCCCGGCCCCTGCGCAGTAGTCGCTTTAATCCGTTGAGCTATTTGGCCGGCCTGAAAGTTTTTTAAAGTTTGTAGAGGTGTTTCAGTCTCTAATTTCAATTTTATTTTTATTTCTTTGAATAATCGTTATACTTCTTTCCCTAAAACCTTTTGTAGGTTTTTTTTTTTCTTTCTTTCTTTTTTATCTTTTTCCTGAGACAGTGTCTTGCTATATTGTCCAGGTTGGCCTTGAACTCGTGGGCTCAGGCAGTATTTCCTCCTGAGTAGCTGGGACTATAGGTCTATACTACCAAACCCAGTTAATCATATGGAAATTTAATACATATACTGTCTGTATGTTCTGTAGCCATTTTGTGAACCATAATAGAAATGACTGTCATCTGTAATTTTTTTTTTTTTAACCAACTTTCTTTCCATTTTGGAAATATGTGTTAAAAGCTTTATTTGTAGAGCACTTCATATTTGAGATTAAATATGTCTTAATGGTGCTCATATAGAATGTACATCATAAAATAGGATGTATGTGTTAAAGATACTTGATCCTATTCCATTTTTGCATATTTCTGATTGGTAGATTTTTGTTCTGCGAATATATTCATGTATTTACTGTTTTGAAACTGAAAGGTAAGAGCTAGCTTTAAATGACTTGTCCCACTAACTTGCTTGGTAGATTTGGATTAATCTTTAATTTTAATTTGTAAAATTGTTTTGAAAGAGTCAAACTTGACAGAATCGGAGGAAATGTGTGGTATTAAACAGTGTAAGTTGGGACTTATTTCCCTCCTGTGGGTTGGAGGTAGTTCATCAGTATCTTGGTTTCTGTTCTTCTGAGGCTTTAAGATTCTTTCTGGTAATTAATAATTAAATATTAATTCAAAAAGAAAAAACCTATCTTTTAACTACATTTTCTCCTTTTTTCTTTTCTTTTGAGGCAGGGTCTCATTTTGTAGTTTAGGCTGGTCTTGAGGGTCACTGTGTAGCTGAGGCTGGCCTCAAATTCATGACACCCTCCTCCTGCCTCATCCTCCTGAGTGCTGGGATTAATAGTGCACGGCCTTCCTCAGCTCTGGGATTACAGGTGTGCATGACCACACCGAGTTTTAGTGGTTGGGGGATCAAACTCCAGATCCTTGCACTTGCCAGGCAGGACAGCTGAGTTATCTCTCCAGCCCAAGGCTGGCCTTGAACTTACTTTGTAGCCCCGGCTAGTCTCAAACCTGCAACAATCCTCCTGCCTCAGTCTCCCAAAAGCTGGGATTACAGGCATTGGCCACCACACGCAGCTTTGTTTTGTTGACATATAGCTGGTGAGTACATCTGGACAACAAACAAAAAATTAACAGCAATTCAGTGGAGATATCTTTGTTTAATAAAGGGTGTAACTACAAGATGTTTCTCTGAATCACAAGTCACAGTGAAAGTTATGTTTAACTCCATCAGCTCTGATAATGGGAAGAAAACACTCAACTCTAGAAATTTGTAGGTTTTCTTGTGCTTAAGTAGCTGAGTCCTTGAGTGTTCCTTTAGGTTGCTTGCCTGTCAGCCACGCACTACTCGTACCAGATCCATCTTTTTAAAACAGAACCTGCTAAAGAGATTTTTTTATAGGTAACTTTTTTCTGAGAAAGAACCTTTAAGTTCACTAGTGTGTATTTGTTGACACGATTTTTAGGGAAAGTTTGAGGGAATTAGTTTCTTTTCCTTCTGAGTAATGTGAAACATCTGCATTGGGTATTTTGAGCCTTTTAAAGGGAATAGTCTCAAAGCTCATGCACATTCATTTTCTTTTAATGTTGGACATTATACTGTATTGAGTTAATAGTTCAAGGGTGAAATGTTATGAAATGTGAAAAATTGTTGATAGGTGTCAGAACTTTTTTATAGAATATCATTTTTTAAATTTTTCCCACAAGAAATACATGGCATATGTTATTATCTTTCTAGCATCTAATTCACTAGGTTCTTTGTGATTGTAAGAAAACCTCTAGTTTTATCATATTGTTAAAACTATTGCTACCACTAAGCTGTGGAACATCTTATCCTTATTTTCCTAATTAAATCAACTATGTTTTTAGAAAACACAAAAAAGTAAAAAGAACAAAGGTATAATTTCAAAATACAACAGAAATTTTATCCAAAACTGTGCTACTGAGGGGCCGGGGAGATGGCTCAATGGAATAAGTGCTTCCCTGGCAAGTGCAAGGGCCCGAGTTTAATCCCCAGTTAGCACCCCCCCCAAAAAAAACTATGCTCCTGAAATACTGTAATAGCATCTTATTTGTATAAATCTTCAGATAAATAGTTCCAAATAATTTTTAGAGGTGTCAGAATTTTGAGAAATAATTGTTAGCCTGTAATTTTATTTTTTTTTTATTTATTTTTGACAACTCATACAGAATTTTACTTAACAAAGTAATATGAATTTCACAGTATTTGTTGTAAAACATGGTATTGTCGTACAACCAGCTATTCATATTATCAGATATATACACAAAAAATTGGAAGAAGAAAAAACTGGAGCAATGTATAAGAAATTAAGAAAAAGTACTAACAATTGAAAAAAAGGAGACGAAGCTAATTAGAGCATTGACTGCTTCTTCCCATTTCCTTTTTAAAAAAATTTTATTTATTTATTTATTTTTGTCCTGTCAGAGGTGAATATTCTATTGGCACCTAAATACTATAAGTGTTTAAATTCAACTAAACATCTGATACTATCTAGCAGTCTATAATATTAGTGGGTTATCCTCAGAAGTTATTGACTAGAGCCTTTTACAGCTCATCGTATTAATATGGATTTACTTTATATACCTCATTTTTATACTTTTCTACTGGATGGTTAAGACCAGGATATAGCAAGATCTATATACCAAGAAA